ACTTATTGTAATTATTTTTTTTTTCTTAAAATATTGATTAATATGCAAAACACCATACAGAATTTAAATAAATAAATATGTAATATATCACGCCACAATATTTTATTGTAAATTTCACGTAGTACTTTCTTTATCATTTTTTTTTTTTTTGAAATGATAATTCATGTACTATAAAATTTTAAAAGTATAATTAATATTATCTGAAATACGATATATAAATTGTTTCACATTTGTGTAATTTTTTTCAATTTGAAACCTGTAATTTTTTGAAAAATAAACATTTATTGAAAAAATCATATTTTCTAAAATTTTCAATCTATATATAATTAATTATAAATATATAAATAAATTCAATGATATTAATATATGCACAAGTGCAAATGTATTTTTCATTATGAGTTATGTGAAATAAGGTTATAATTTTATGTCTACTAAAAAATTTCTTGTTCTTTCTATATATATAGTGAAATTATTGGTACATATATATATCTATTCAGTAATGCTGTAATTCATTTTATTCTAATGACATTATTTTGGATAATATTTAATTTTTATATATAGACCTTTACAAACATAAAAAACAATTTTTTTTCTTAATTAGTTCATAGTGTGAATATATTTTTGTAATATTTTTTAGAAGCATTAAACTTTGATTCATCCTTTATAAAATATATAAGTCAAGTATTTTGCAATAATATATATATAATTACCATTAATATATATATTTAAATATCATATCACTGATAAGAATTTTCTACAGGAATATATTTACATAATATGTTTCTATAAATATATAATGGAAATTGATACTTTGCTAGCACAAATAACCTATACTTTTTTTAACACATATGTTGACTTATATTACACTTATTTTAAATCGTTACTCGCATAATTCTGATGTAATTGTTATTATTTAAATGATAAACTATTAATACAAGGAATGGATAACATATATAATTATTTAATGAATATAGGAAAAACACTTAATGAATAAAGAAATTGTTAATTCACATACAAGCTTTGCACAACACAAAAAAAATTGATAACTTACATAAGCATATTCTATGTTACTCGAATTAGATAAAATATAGCTAATACTTTAAGAGAAATATGCAAAGTACATAAAAAATATTATACATTGGTATACTGTATATAACATTGTGAAAAAGGAATATACCATTATATGTCTCGTGTAAATATAATTCATAAGTTAAAATGTTATATATACATATAAAATTTTTAAAGAATACAATAAAAAGATACAATTAAAATTATAAAACATAAATAAGGAAGCTGTATAATTTATAAATTTATACTATATTTTTTTCATGGTCATGTATTATAGAATAATGTTTTGAAAATTTGCTTACTTGCAAATTTCATGGTTATGTAAATAAATAATGTATATAGTTATAGGGAAAAAGTTTCATTATATAAAGTGTAATGAAAAAATTAAACACAAATAAATATGAAGACTACATTATATAAAAGTTTTATTAAAAATATTAATTTATTCTACTTAAAAAATATATATTTTTTACATAAATATCTTCATTGTATACATTTATATGTATTATTATTATATTTTACTTTTTATTAATATGCATCCCTGTAATTGTTATAACAGTCTTATATTTATATATTATCCATTTTAACATAATAGTCTTTTTACTTTTTTGAATCAAATTAATTTACTCAATATGATACTCTATAAATTTTATTTCTTAAACTCATAATGTGAATCATATGTCTCTGATGCATAATCAGATAGTTTAATGTACGCATAGTTTAGACTAACTCTATTTATTTTTTTTTTTCTCCGAGGTTATTGTGTATAATTCTCTCTGTTGTTGTAAACTGGTATATTGTGCACAATATAATGTACATTCAAAGTATACTTTTATCACATATAGTTACAAAATATTAGCTTATATGTACATTATTTTACACAGGTGCATGAATTAAATTAATTTTTACTTTATTTGAAATCCCAAAATGTACAGAAAAGAAAACTGCTACATGTGGCAAATTCCCTATAACATTTACCGTTTCAGATCCTTCATATTTAAGTTATACATAATTTTATTTTTTTGTCTATTTCCATATAATTTTAGAATGGAATATTAATTTTCTTTAAAGGGCGTAATATATTTTGAGTTTGGTTGTTAGACATACGTTTTTCAAATGAATATTTTGAAAATATATTGAATTTTTATATTGTGCTTCTCTTTTTTTTTATAGAACTTTAATTTATTCTAATTTTTCATAGTAATTATACCTTTTTAGGATATTTTATACAGAATGCTCTTTTCATTTTTTATATATTTCTGAGCATATCACATTGCCTTTTTTATTGTCATACTATGTCTCGAAATATTCATGTACTGTTTATTTTCTTTGGGTCATATGAATGATAAAATTTGGACATATTATAATAGTTCTACCATATAGAAGTACTTGAAATATTATAAATATCAAAATAGTAATCATATAATCCATTTAGATATTCACATTTAGTACCATCAACCTTGATAGAGATGGATTTACAGGGCAGATATTGTCATTATCACATGGGGGGAGGGGGGGTTTAAAAAGACATTTCTAGAATGCTCAATTCTTTTTAATGAAGTAGTAATTATATAGTATATTTTATAAGCATAAATTGTATTTATTTTGAAGTGTATGATAATATAAATAAGAATGCAATCTTCGTATTTATTAACACCACATTCTTTTGATAATTATGTTTCCAATTAATACGGTGCTCTGAAAAAATCTTTACAATACTAGGCTTTCTATAGTACTACCTATGACATTTCTGCAGTATTGTTTATATGTTCCGTAATAGCTTTGTTTTGGTGTCAAGAGATTATATAAAAAATGAGAGGTTATATTTTTCATATAATAATGCATAACTTCCTAAATTAAAGTAACACTACATATGTACATATGTATTACAAAGTATAGAACAAATTTCAGTGAAGTTCACAAAATTTGAATATTAAAATAATGAATTGTATATTACACCTCATCGTAAAGAGTGATAAGTTGATTAGAATAAATATAAAGTAATGGAATATATAAGATATACTTGCAAATAAGTGATGTTTTCATTTTTTCTTTTAATACATTGATATATGTTTTAATAATTACATGATTTATTCTTGAGTGGTTTTATTTTTTTATTACGTAAAAAGTAATAAAACACTTTTATATTACAATGTCTGAATTTTCACTAATTATTAATATGTACTATAAAATATGATTGTATAACATAGTATTATGTATTAATTTTTATTTGTGTATTATGTATTATAAATTAATATTTTAATTTATAAATAAATATTTATCATATGAAAATAATATTACATAAGCTCTAAATATAATGTGTAATGTATGTTCATCTAGGGGAAAAAAAAAAAAATTCATGTATGTATAATTGTTACATATGGGCTTTTATTATGTGATATTTATTACTATTTTGTTATTATTATTCCATAATTTTTTATCTTGAATTATTTTATCAATATAAACACACAATTATATTATTTCAGAACATACTATATAATATAAATAAAAGAATTAAATTGGATTATTTACTTTTACACTAATGGATTACTTATTAATATATTTCTTTTTTTTTATAATATAATTTTATTTTATTTCTATTCATATAATTGTTATAAATTTACTTAATTACGTAAAGGAATCACATCTAATGTGTAAAAAAAAAAATAACACTACTTCTAACATTTCACATACATATGTTATATTTAGCTAATATTTTGTAAATTTACTCCCAGAATATTTTTATATTGATATGGAAATCTTTTTATTAAAAATTCCTTAATTATTAATTTCACCAAATTATGTATTATTTATATATATTCTCTATTTAATATTTTACACAATATTCAATAAGTATTTAATATAAAAAAAATTTCCTCATTATATTATTTAAATAATATTTTATTTTATCCTTTTTTATTGAATTTATAAAAAAAAAAAATACTACATACGGGATATACCGAAAGAAAAATATAAATTTTATGTCATTTATAGTAGCGAAACCTTAGATAAAATTATAACTGAATATATTTTTTATAAAAAATGTATTATTATATGTATTTTTATTATTTCATCTTTACAACGTATACATTACTCACAAATAAATTTTTGATCCCATGCAACTAAGACGACGGGGTAATCTGATGGATACTTCAGACATATTACTTTTAAAATGATGTTATAAAATAAAATTATAAATGTAATTATCTACAATAAGTTTTTTCTTTGTTATATTTTTTTTATATATAGTTATTTTATGTGAAATTTAAGAGAGTATTATTATGTATTACTTGGCGCAATTGTATAGGAAATTTAAAATATTTTTTTAATAAATAGTATTATACATTATTGTTTGTTAAAATATCTGCCATTTCATAATCTACCAACTATTGAATAATATATATACATATGTACATATTTTATTGTCTATTATTCATATCAGAGTATTATTTCCTGGAGTACTTAATAGTAGTTAATTCTATCGTATGAAAACAACAATATCAATATGTTTTAATTTTAAATTTTCATTAACATATCTAATATATATTATATTTTTTCGATTATAAAAATTTATGTAAATTATATACACTACTTAGCATTTTTTAATATAAATTTTAAATAATAAAAATTTATATTATATTTTTATTACTTAACATTCCATTTATTATAATTTTATTATTTTAGACCAATGTTTTATTTATAATTTGCTTTAATAAATTCTACATAAAAATAATATATTTATGAACCCATTTTATACAAAATTATTGTTTATGATTGCTTCCAATAATGGTGTTATTTTATATTTTTAATGGATGCACATTATTGGTAGTTTAATTTTCTTATATGAATTACATTTTAATACATATTTAATATATTTCATAATAATTATTATACCAATACACTTTTTGAATATTACGTTAGTAATTTTACGTTCATATATTTCTATATGCTATGTCATATCTCTGATTATATGAGTTCATATCCACTGTATTATGTTTGTGGTTTAATAATGCTTTTATATTATTTGCTTCATATATATTTGTCATTTTTTTTACTCTTTTTCTAGAATGAAACATGTTACTAATTGGATTGAACTAATAATAAAGATATAAACAAATTTATATATTTATTAATTTATTTGCTGGTAGAACATAAAGTGAAAATAGCTTTCGCTATTGTTCATAATTTTCAAGGGTTATTATATTTACCTTATATATTAAAAATAAAAAGGAAAAAACTGAAGCAGTAGTAACAATAGCTGTCGGTAGAATACTTTTTATAGATACACTTGTAAATAATGATTCTGAGTCCGGTAGTAATATTATTTCTTCATCGAATTCTGATTGAATTAAGTCTACAGGTTCTTCAGGTAGAATTTGCTCTTTATTTGTATCTAGTGATTGCTGAATATCAACATCCGGCGTGCAAAGGAATGATGCCATATCCTCTTCAGGATTTAATGATGGTAGTTGTATTTTTTTCTGTTGTATTAATTCATCCTTTATAAGATATGTATCATATGCTATCTCAAAATTTCTTAAAAATGAACATGTTTTTTCTTTATTACCTCTAAGATTAATACTGCCTGCAGGGCAATATTTACTATTAATATTCCTATAAGCTTTTACCAATTTATAGACAAAATCTTGACAACTGCAGTAAATTTTATCTTTAGGACCTATCAGTGTAGCCCTAATAAGATCTATGTTAGACTCAAATATATTTAGCATTACAATGGAAAGGGGTTTTAAATAATTTTTACCGTAGAAATAATATGGACACTCATTCAGATATGTTAGATTAGGAGATATTCTTTTAATCAAATGGAAAATACTATTAAAAATGTACGGATTAAGTTTATATTTTACTATGGAAATAAATAACCAGTTGTTTAAATTGTTACAATCTTTAAGATTAAATTTGCATTCTCCTGGATTATTGCAAAATAACTTCAAATTTCTTACAAGTTTTACACACACTTCAAAGTGCTTCTTTTTGTCCTTTCTCACAAAACTTTCAATTGGGTTACAAAACCTATGATACAATATGTTTGTTGTAGATACATCCACTGGTTCATCGAAATTATCATGCACATCCCAAACCTTGCTTAAAAAGGGATACTAAATTAAAGAAAAAAAATATAAAACTTACATTAATAAATAGGAATTAACACTCTATAAAGTATTTCATTAAAGATTAATATGCGTTATTACGAATAAAGATATTTTTTATAACATATATAAAAACAAACATACTTGATTTTCTAGCTGTCTAAATTTCAAAGCTAAGTTAGTCATCGTTTATTATGAAAACATTGAGAATATTTCAGTGCATTTAATAATAGATAAATTGTCATAGTGCAAAAAAACTATATAGACATTATGTTCATTAATAGGTTTAATGTATAAGTAATTATATATTAGAGCTAGATAAATTCTAATTCGTTTATGTATTAAGATAAAAATAATAAGATGAAAAATAAGCATATAGTTTTCTAGAAAATATGTTGTAATAATGGGTTAAATAATATTATTAAATAAAAATATTTTTACATGAATATTCAATAAGTCCATAAGTACTACATATTTATTGGCAAAAATGAATGTATTTGTCTACATATATGAATATAATTTATTAAACATATTCTATTTTTTACATAAAGCATACAATCATTGAACACATGTTTTATAAATAGATACATTAGTATACATAATAATGTATGGTTTCTAGTAAATAATTTACTAGAATTCAAGAATAATAATTTATAAATTATATTTCATTATATTACTAATATTGGATAAGATACATAAATAATAATATTTTTTGTAGGAGTTAAATAAATGATTATTACATACTGATAACAAAAATTAAATCATATATTTAAGATGTTAAAATGAAGTAAAATAATTTATATTATATTAATAAGCTTTATCTTAACAATATTGTTTTAATAATAAATATATTAGTACACAATTAATATATTTCACAAAGTGTATGATCAATTACATTTACACTTTTTTTTTTTGCGTACACAGTGTTACATATTATATTATATGTAACAAAGAAATACTGTAGGACATTAAACTAAATACTATTTTAATAATTATTCTATTTTTAAAATAAAACGATGTGTACAATAAAATTATTTTTAATACATAACAATTCAGCATACAGAGTATACGTTTTTAAAGAAGTGCAAAAAAGAAATAAATATATAAGACATGAAAACTTATAAAAAAAAATATCGTTTGTATATTAATATTATATCCATATAATAATATGTTTGTGACATATGGGAATATGTATTATATATTTTTCATTTCTTTACATATAATAGTAAATTTATGGGTAAATATGGCTTGATAAGTTATCTGTCTTTCTTATATTTCAGTAACTTTTCGTTTGAAAATAACATAAAAAAAAATGCTTATAATAAAAGCCATTATATTAACATATATTTGTTGAAAAAATAGATATTAAATAACTAAATACATATCTGATTAAATATCATTTCGTCGTGTTCTTAAGGATCAATCCTAACATAAAAATTATTAGAATATCCTTATGAAGAATGGTGTCATGATTTATGTTGTAGTAATTTTAATTTTATTTTGTAAAAAAATAAATATACATTAACATGTATTTATAAACATAAAGGGAATTTGATTTATTTTCGATACACAATATGTATTAATATATTAATTATTTATATCTACTTATATGATCCAGTGATCAAATAGAATTTTACCTTGTATATAAGTATATATATATTTATATTATACATATATAACATATGCACTGTTTTATTGTATGATAAATATAATTTTAGAGAAATTTACATAATAATATATTTTGCATTATATATGATTTCTATGTAATTTTAATATATCTAATGATTTATGTTTTCATTTGTCTAATATTATAATATCATAATAGAGTAACATAGAATTAGTTTATTAAGCATAAATTTTTTTATATTTTTTATAAACGCATTATTCTTAATTCAAGATTATTCTAGAATAAATTACATTTATAAAATATTATGTGCGTATACATTTATGCTTTAAATCGATTACGAATATATTAATTCATTATTCATAATGTATGGTATTAATGTGGAATAAAAAAACTTATTTTACTTGTTACATTGGATAAATAAAAAAGAAAAATTAGTAGACAAGAAACATTACTATTAGGTCGTGCATCATAATATATAGTATTCTTTATCATTCATATAATATATGATTTAAAATAGAAATAGCATTATAAATTTATAATACAAATAAGTATGCTACTAACAAATAATAATAATATATATTTATAATATATTTATTTCTTATTACAATATATTTTAAAGAAAAAATTACATAGATATTATTTTTAAAATATTTAATAAATAAATTGTGATAAAAAATATTAAATATTTATTTCTAATTTATGTGATTTATCATTAGAAAAAAATTATAAACTATTCATAAAATTAATTGTATTAATAGATAATTATTACTATGTCTCTTTACTAAAAAATTTATAATTTTTCTTGAAAAAAAAAAATATTTGTTGTACATGGTTTGCATCATAATTATAAAATATTAGAAAAAACTTCATTTTTTCTTTTAAAAACTCGTTCTGTTGTAACTTTGTAAAAATATTATAATCTCATAAATGTTAATTCTCCTTGATACATAAATAAAATTGTGCATGAGGCATTCATATATATATATAAATGGAATTTTTTATTATTCAGAATAAATAATTATACTATAAAATATAATTTTTCTGCATACGAATTATATGAAATACGTATACTAAGGATTAGTTCACAATAGAACGCATTAAAAAATTATAAAAATAACATATTTGTATAATAATATAAATATAAGGAAGAAATAAAAATAATAAAAAGGGCGCATAGATGGCTCATGAAATTTTTTTTTTTTTGTTTTTATTATTCGATAATATATAATATTTTCTTAGTGTTCAGTTTTGTGAGTTCCACATATATATAAAGACTACGTAAAACCTTCATTCATGTATTTCAATGAATAAAGCAGTTTCTTTTATGCATGATAGCTAAGAGGAAATTAATTTTTTTAAATTCTTACTTTGAATCATTCTTATAGATATCATTAATAATATAATGTTCCACACAAGTATGCAATAATTATCCATTTTCTTTTGTTCCATAGACATCAAAATTTGTAATGATGCAAAATAATATAACAATGATAATTGCAAATATAAATTTTTTTATATTATCATAATAAATTTATATAATAATAGAATGCAATGACACAATATAAATGCGAATAAATTTTCTATTTTATACATGTGAAACCATGAAAAATGTTCCGTATGTTTAATATAAGAATTAAATTTGAAATAATATATGAAAAACAAATGATATTTTTTTATGTATATTTTATGGTTTTTTTAACTTATATCATTTATATTAAAACGTATAGTCCTTATATACTGTGTATTATGATTTTTTTTAGCAAAACTTTAATATCGCCTTGTTTCAAGGTGTTTGCTTGTATTTAACATTTATGAATTTTCGGAAGAACTCAGTGTATATATATATACTTTTACCAAATTGAGATATATTATATCTTTAAAAAAATATTTTACCAATACGGTATTTTAAAAATAAATCATTTTTCTTATATATGTCAGTATTGTTCATAAATCCATAGTTTCTTGCTACATATTATTTACAAAAATACTATTAATTTGTATATTAAATTATTTTTTCATAGTGGAACTCCCGATTGTAGATATCCATAGTTGCTTATTAATAAATATCAGTTGAATTATTATTTATGAATACTTGTTTTATTCACTTGTCTGTTTATTTTATATAACAATGGTTCATGAATATATAATTATATTTATAGCAGCTATGCTAAGAGTATTCCATATAATGAAAATATTTTATTTTTATTTTGGTAAAATATATTATGTAATGCCTTACGATACATATATTTTCAGTTATATATTACTTTATACAATAGATTATCATAATGACGTCTACTGAAATCGAAATAGATATATATAAGACTTAAAGAACAAATATTTTTTGTACTCATGGAAGGCCAAATTCAAAACAAGATAAGAATAGTTAATCTTCAACTGTTTCTAAACAAAGTTCTTGTTGTGGGGGCATTACCTGAATAACATCCAATTATATTAACTTTACGAGCTTTATTATTATTGTACTTAAGTACCATATTACATTAATTATATGGACAACCTTTTATTGTGCATCAATATTACAGTTATTTTGTAATATATAATCTGCTTGTTATTGTGCACTAAAAAATATTTTGAGGTGTACTTAATCCATAATCTATGAACCGTAGAAATATGCTGGATAAATTTATTTTCATATTGATATACATGAGTGTCATTTATAATGATATAATATAGTCACCCTAAATCACTAATAATAGTATATATATATACATAATTATTTTTATAGCATAAAAATACATAAAAAGTTATAATATGTACGTTTTTTTTAATAATTTGTTTTCACATTACAGAATAATAGGCTGATTTTATACAATTAATTAGTTGTAAATTAAAATTTCCTTCCATAAGACCCGCTATTATATAATTTAAATATATATGTATTACATATGAGAACAAATATACGTATAATATGTATAATTTCCTAAGAATAGTTCTAATATTATGTTTTTAATTTCACACTAACTTATTATTGTGTCTTATATATATATTTTCAAAAAATCCCATGTCATTACAACTTGAGAACTTTTTATTGACTTATGATTATGTTCTTTTGAAGGAAGCATAACTATATATTTAACCGTAACATGTTATGTGAGAATATATATCTGTTCGCATTTTCATTTTATTCAGAATTATATAAGAATAAAATAAAATTTATATTTTAATAAAATTTAATAGACAATTGTATACAGAAAAAAGGAGAGATTAGAATTATTAGAAATTACCCTCACAATATAAGAATACTCATTTGAGAAGGAAAAAATAATATATTATATTTTTACATATAAAATATATTGAGAATCTAATATTGTTTTATATATTATTTTATTAATATTATAATTTAAAAACATTAAATAAAAAATAAAATGTTTTTGTTTTATTTTTGGTGCTATAATATTTTGTTATATTAAAAATCTGTGCGCATAACTCTTCCTATTAATAAATAAACAAATCATGATGCTATATGTTGCTAATAAGGGGAATTATATAAACAGAATTTTAAATATTTCTTTTAAAAATATTATTGAGGAAAGAATCAGTG